GCACATGTTCTTGATGTTCCCAGCTAGAGAAGCTAAGCAGCACGTGTTTTGATGTTGTAATACTATATGGTGGAGATGTAAAGGGGGATCAGAGTTAGAATTAGAAAAAGAAAACTAGAGCAAAGACAAAGAGTTCCAAAGAAGTAAAAAGGACTAAGGGAGAAGGAAACTAGGATGGAAGAGCAATCTCATAGGGCGCACTGTGGACAATTCATAATATATTTTTCTGGTAAGCATTCTAAATATAGTATTATGTATAGTGTGGTGAAGTGGCTTTATATCTTTTGTAGCATGTCAGACTTAATCTGTTAGTCTTTTAGCTAATTAGCTTTGCATAAGTATGGGATTTTGGTTGGTTCTTCATTATAGTTCTTTTAGAAATAATGGATCTGCAATATGTGTAAAAAAATGTATACATGAGAGGATGTGCAATGCTGCAAAGCCTCCCCTCTGCATGGAGGAATAAAAACTAGTTAAGCATAAAGCTGGCACTATCAAGACTGCCAGCTATGGTGTTCACATCTAATATTTCTTTGATTTTGTTTAAATAGTAATCAAGATGCCATTTACCTGCCTTATTCTTACATTTCAAATTGCATTGGTGCCTATAATAAGAACAAGCACTTAAGCTACAGTGGAGTCTGCATCATCCACGGGACTGCTTTCATGGTCCTAGTTTGTCCAGGGTTCCCAAGTGAGGTTCCGTGAAACTGTAGCTTAATCTCCCCATTGCCCTATTGCTTGAGGTGAAGATTAGAGGATTTCTACCATGTTCTTTCTAATGTTGTAATGACTTAGGAGACATGTCTCCAAACTCCTTAAAGGTCAAGACCCATGAAATCATGAACTAAGGGGGAGAGAATGTAGCCTTTGAATGTCTCAAAGGATGGCTTCTTTCTTTGAAAGGTATGCTTATTCCTTTCCCATGTTCCCCACATGACAGCATGAACAATGATTTTCCCATATGACCTTCCCTTGACTGGATCCATGTGCCTTCTAAAGGATCCAGCCAACCTTGATCTGAAATGATACTGAGGGTCTCCCAGGAACTTATAGGTTGCCCTTTTTATACTTAACCAGCCAAAAGTGGCCAGCCTCGGAATCCGGGGTGAGATATTTTATCCTGGATGCCCACATTGTTGCCTCTAATCACATACAACAGTCTCCATTTAATGACTTCATTTGTCTTGTAAATTATGTTAGCTTTTGGCTCCCCTTCCATTTTAACCCTCAACAGTCCTACCAAGTGAGGTGACTATATACCTTGGAATAAGGCTTCAGGCTACAGTTCTAATTGCATCCTTTTCCTCTTCTGGCCTTTGGAACACTTGTGCTTTCACCATCCTTGGAAATGCCTTCTGTCCTTGGAGGTGTTAGACTTCCAACTGAATATAAATAAAAGTTTAGCATCTCCATATTTGGCTTTGGGAGTTTGGGTGCTATTGCTTTACCAACTTTGGATGGAATATTGTTTTCTTATAATGCTCAATGAAAGTGCTACCTCAATAACTCTAACTCTAACACACAATTCATCCTTCTAAGTTTCATACGGTTAATGCGGAAGTTATGGACATCTATCTTCTATCTCCCTCATATTCTTTCTGCCCCAATATAATGGGCTGTAGTATATATCTCCAAATATAATTGGCTGCAAAACAATGAATGCATAGATGGGTTGCTCATTCTCCATAAAGTTGCATATTTGACATGTATAGCCATAGTTTTCATTCTTTTTGATCTTGATTACTGAATTAGATGTGTTCCTGGGATAGCTGGCAACTTCAGAAAGCCTTTGTATTAAAACCGGAGAGGCTTTTTCGTTTTTTTACAAAGCTTCAAAGAATAGATCATTTATAAGAAAAAATACTATGCAAGCCACAATGACTAGAGATTATTATTATATTATGAGGGAGAGATCAATGCATATTAGGGGTGCTCAATAAGATTAGTAATTTGATTGGTTTCATCTTCTTGAAGTTCCTGGAAAATGGTCAGGTTCCATGAGAGTCCAAATAACAAATGAATGAATAAATAAATGAACCTATCTTTGTTTGTTTTAGGAAGGGAGATTGTTCTAACAATGATAACCAGAAGCAAGTGTGCCTTTTTTACTCCAAATATCTTACTAGAACCCTACCCCATCAGGGACTATAAATGGAAGACTTTTTGTAATTGGATCTTATCACACCTTGAGTCCCCCTGATAGTAAGCATTACAACTAAAACACTCTAGGAGCTAACGCTTTCTAAGTCACTTTCAATATGTTTTTAATACTATGCCAGTTTTTCACAGTAGAATGAAATAGTAGGGTACGGTAAGGAATGGGTACAGGTTGTACCCTTGTAAGTGGAATTGTATAGTTTAATCATGTCCTTATATATTGCTTACTTAGTTTAAACTTTAAATCTTGTACACAGTTGAGGTAGTATGCCCAGAGCCTGTGAAGCATTAATGAAATTTTTAGAACTCTTAAAGGCATCATTTTTCTAATAGTGATTTTTTTTATTCCACTAAAGGATATGCACCATACTTGCATAATTTGCAAGTTGGTTTCTTATAATTTGTAAAGAACCTATTTCTGATGAATAATATCTTTCAAAAGATTTTAGTTCATAGAGTAATAAATATAAGTTTTAGAGTATCCAATTTAATATGTTCTTTTCATGCATCTTCATCTTTTTATTTTTTTGAATCCAAGTGTCATTCCTCAACACTCGTATCTTACCATATTCAATTAAACTTATAGCATACTGTTTTTTATAGTATGATTTATTAAAGCATACCATTTACATATTTAAAAAGTGTTAATGCAATAAAGTATACTTTAGAAGTGTTCATGCTGTATCTTTTATTGTATTGGGCACATAGTGTGTTGGACACCAGCATGCTAGGCACGTAAAGATATCCAAGTATCATGGATTGCTCCAAAACAGAAGTGGCTAGGGGCCAACTGTTCCTTTTGACTTTATCCACTTGAAGGTGAGATGCATTTTTAGTCACCGACTCACTGTCCTGAGCTTAAGTAGAATCTGTTTGAGGTGCAATTGGAACCCTAAATATGTAATGCGGCAATCTTTTGTTTCCGTCATGTTTTGGTAAAAGAGGCAAGAAAATATCATGCCTATCTTTTTTCATTCCTTCTCTTTTGTCTCTTCAGTTTGTGGAGTGGACTTTCATGTGGTAACATTCTTTAATTGACTAACTATTGGAAAATGTTCAATCAACTGTCAAAATGATTTTCAGAAGTTCATGCAGTTGCAATGTTATGCCAAATAAGGTCTTAGCTTTATCAATTAAAACCTCTGAATTTTGCAGAATATTTCTTTTCCATGATACGAAAAACTGGAAAAAGCCCAGACCCACTTATGAAAAGGGGTTTCAGCCAGTGCTACATGGAATGTTCTAAGTGGATGAAGTATCTATTTCTGATTCCAACACTCTACGCATTCCTAATAGAAACTTCAACAAAACATTTTCCTTTATCTACCTGCTATTTGACATAATTGAATAGTTAGTATACACAATGAGTGCCGTTTATAAAAGCTGAATTGTTGACTTTACTGCAAGGTCTTAGGTTAGCTAAGCAATTGGGCCTCAGTCAAATGGAGGTGGAAGGGGACTCAAAAGTAATCATCTCTTGGGCTAGATGTAACAGACATATTCCATGGACTCTCAAGAATGTTTACAGGGAAATAGAAAGGACTGCAAGAGAGCTGGGTGCTGAATTCAAATGGGTTATACGGAGTGCAAATGGGCTAGCTGACTTCCTTGGTAAACAAGGGGTAGAAAGGCAGCAATTGTTTTGGGCATCTTTGTAACATAGTGTTGGTTTTGGGGCTGATGTTATGTTCATCAAATTAAACTTGTAATTCTTTTTTTTTCACATATTAATAATATAGTCAAAGTTTTTTTGATAAAAAAACGAATGCCATTTATAAAAACCTGTATTAAGTAACGAAGGTAAAATTTTGGTCCTTTTCTATAGGTATATATAGAAAAATATGGAATATTTTAATAGTTATGCTGTCTATAGATGTCTCCACGAGTCCTTGGTTTTGTTTCTTGCAAGTCAGACTCCCAGCAATGCATCAGTTCGGATTCTCGTGTCTGTGTCCATGCAACACCAGTTTCAACCTTGTTTATACTTGTTGTACATCCCCCAAAAGATCTTAAATGGTGCATTTGAATGATTAGAGTTTGTGCACTGATATCTGCCATTGAAAGGCCAAAACATAAAAATGATAAAGCCATATGACTCTGCTCCAACATAATAATTCTGATATAGTTGGCTCTTTTAGGTATTCGACTTCTCAACTGATCTGGTGCATTTAGAGTTATTGCCTCTGTGGACATAGTAACTGAATTACCGCAATATGTTACTAAGGCAGCTATTGTAAAATTGTTTGGTATTATTCAGTTTTCCCCATTTGTATCATATTATTAGCGAGCATGTATGGACCATGTTCTGTTACTTTCATGAGGTCCCACTTGTTGCTTTTGGCAGGATTTAGGACTACCATCTAGATCTATGTTGTGATATATTCAGATGTATAACTTTTCCAACTAGAATTGCATATGATTGCTTGTAACATTTGTCATAGTATGCTATTGTTCCTAAAATCATTTATGCCTTACTATGGGTACATGGTCCCTTTACTCATGGTTCTTTTCTTAGCCATATACTGTTATGATGAAAGAAGAATAGATCCTTAGTTTTTTGTTTTTTTTTGGGTAAATGTAGATCCTTGGCTAGAAGGATGTTATCTGATGCAGACATTCTTAGAGCTCCTTGTTGTGACTTGTGGTTGGTGACATTGCTATCGACTTTCGCTTCAGTTATTTATCTTCCATGTACTCACTTGTTGACAACTGCCAACCTGCGATGCGTCTTGCTTCAAAATTGCCCCAATTTTGAGAGTTGGAGTTTAGTAGAGCCTTTTAAATTACCCAACAAAAATCTGGTAATATTGCAGTCAATGACACTGATGTGTTGAATGCAGGTGGAGTCTTCCATATATTGAGCTTGCTTGTATATGAAAGGAATGTGAATGCAAGTTGATCACAGCACCATAAAGTAAACGGTTGGCATGTGTCGGTCATGTTTGAAACACCGAGTTATTGTCTTCATCCAATATATCAAAATTTAGAAAGAAGAAAGGAGGAAGATTTGGCGGCAATTATATCCATCATGCTGACCCTGCTAGTTTTGTTGAATGATATATGCATTGCAGAAGAGTGGACATAATTGTGAATTTTATGTTACCATTTCCAAGGTCCATATGCAGCATTAGATTGGTTTGGAGGACAAGTTTGATGATTGGTTTTCCACTTGAGAAAAGCAGTTTGATGTGAAGTGAAATCTTGGGACTTGTACAGAGTTAAGGGACAAGAACTCTTGTATTGGTCATTATACCAGAAGCTTGAATGTGGGTGATTCCCTAGTGTAATGTTTCTCCATTGAGTTATGACATATGGGTGCTTGTGTAGAGATGGGGGTTACAGGGCATGTAAGCCACATTTACTGCTTTAATTTTGAAACTTCTGTACTTCTCATATTCAACATTCTTTCACTTCACGCTGTATCTTCTAGAAATTATGAATGTGTTGCAGCTGCTATACTACTTGTAGACATACATTTGATGTGCCAAAACTTGTTCATATATGGCCTTGATATGGGGTTGTAAACGAGCCAGCTGAGCCTGGGAATGACCTATTTGCTACAGTGGACGGTTGCATTAATTGCAGAATAACCATTTTTGAATTGCCAGATGAACAACCGAACCTCAACTTGGATGGTTGGACCACTTAATTCCCATGCTGTGGTCCAGTGCTGGCCATCTAGTTTGTCCTGCCGATTGCTTCCTTTTCTTGAGAGCTACAATTCCTTGCTGAGGTTAAAAAATTCGGCCTATTCAGGTGAGTTCATTTTCATTGTACCGACTAAAAACAGCAAGCTGTAGCAGACCAGCATTCCTTCTACATAAGCTTACCTATCAAAGAATCTGCATATAAAGATTCCTTTGCAGTCCAAGACGCACCAATTCTGTCAATTCTTCAATCTAAAATGATCTTCGTGGGTCACCCATTTGAATTCGACAACGTTTAGATGCCACCAACTTCGACCGTCCAACAAAATGGCTGACTATGAAGATTGATTCATGATCAATGGTTACAGCGAAAGGTACTCACAGTGTATTGGATTGATAAACATTGTTTATTAGTAGCCCAAGAGGAGTTCTGGGCCCTCTGGCTACAATCTTCCATATAGATTTTGCTTGAAAAGTAACAAATAAAACTTCCAATCTTCCATACAGATTTTATTTAAAGAAAACACCTCATTAATTTTCTTTTTCCCTTGGTAGCATCTGGCGCAGCTTTTAGAACTTGGGGAGTGATAACTTCTAGTGAGCCTCAAAAACACTGACATTAATCTTGAAACCAACCATTTGATTTCTAAGTTGGGGAAGAGATGTGCCCAAGTAATAACCACAAGTCCTGAATGGTCAATCAGTTCCTCTAAAACTTCTATTATCGAAATACCTCTCAAACTTTTGTTCCTTTTTTTTTGCGTCTAATAGCTATCCTTTATGCTCAGTTTGGAAGGAGTACAAATACAAATATAAATATGTACAGTGTAAATACATACAAAATACAAGGTTTTGTACTCTACAAATTTGTATCTGTGCTCCTTCCAAACTGAGCCTTAAGTTTTACACAACAAGATAGAATGAACGGTAAATGCCCCCTCAAGCATTTCTTTAACATGGTTTCCATGAGATTACTTGTCTTGAAGCACTCTCTGCAAAATCAGTGCCAAATGAACTAAAATTGAAGCTTTTAAACTTATATTCTCTAATTGATCCACGGAGAAATCTTGGTTGTATATTAAAAATACCTGTCTTGATTAATACATGAATAATTAAATAAGGTTTTGGTTGAGTTGAATCACATTTTGAACCATTAAAGTGCTATTTACGCACTTAGGTACAATATGATGAGCTATCTACTCCTATTGTTGCTATCATCATTTTCATTTTCTTTTTTTTTTTTTTTTCTGCTGCTACCATTGCCACCATCACTATAACCATATCCATAACTTTTCTACTGTTACTTCTGAAGGTACATAAACATTTTTATCTGATCTGTCAGTAATATAAAAGTTTCCCTTTCCTAGAAGTTGCTCCTTTTTTCCCTTTGAAAAGGAAAAGGAAAAAGGAAAACCTTATTTTGGAAGAAAAAACAAGAGTTCTGTTCTCCCCCTTTTTGCTTTGAAAAACAACTTTTAAGAAATATGCTATTAAGTCAGACCCAGTTGCAAATCGAGACAGGATTTTTTTACTTGAACCATTCACTCTGGGCTTGAATATGCTTAATTTTATGAAAAGTCAGGTAGGGAATGACCAGAGGGCTTGTAGATTGAGCTCAAAGCCAGAACAATATGGATTACATTAGACTAGTTTAAGAAATTGTTAGAAAAAATTATACGGTGAGTGGTGAAAAAAAGAAAAGAGTTGTGAGCAATTCAAAGAAGAAGAAGGAAGAAAAGACAAATACACTGGATCCAATCACCAAACAATCATCAAAGATATACCATTAACTCAAACTTTGCCAGAAGATAACTATCTTGCAGTATTCAGAAAAACAATAACAATTTGATGACCTCTAAGTTGAGAATTTTATTTTACCAAAAAAATGGTTATCTTCTTTTGGCACATCTCAACTAAAATCAATTAAAGTTAGCCTTAATCTCAACAGTCGTGACAAAGTGCAAAGATAAAATAATGTGCATCAGAAATCAAGGGTATTGCTCTGAGCACAAACTGCACAGAAATGCAGACTATAATGGATGAAGAAAAAGTCAGATCCTACACAACATTCACAAAAGAAAATAAGAAAACATCATGCGTAGATTAAAACAAAGGAGGTCCTACTATGAGTTGAACCCAGGTTACTGGATTCAAACTCCACAGTGCAAACCACCATACAATAGAACCAAAAGCTAGAACAAGGAGGTGGTAGTGTCATGTTACTTGATAGAATATTCTAAAGCAAGTGCTAATAGAAAACGAATTGTCACTAAACCTTTCATCCTCTTATTTATATTTTATAGATGTAAATTCTTTTTACATTTTATGGATGCAAATGCCTTAATTTTTACCATGTTTTATTTAAAAATTGTACGTAGTTATGATTAAAACTCCTCAAAAATGAAGATTCTGAAAGACTGAAACCTCTATACATCTTTAAGTATATAGCCTTTGATGTTTTAGATTTTAAGGTAGATGAACAATTTATATATTTTCTTCAAAAAGCAATTTTTAGCTTACTAAAGCCCCCTGCCAAACTTAAAAACAATGCTTAGGCTGCATTTAACATTGCTTATCCATAACTTAACACTGAGTAAAATCAGGTTTTAACAATTAAGGGACTCAATAATAAAAGGATGGTCCAAGTGTTTTTAAAATAAACAATGAGAGGTTAATCATCATAGAAAGTTTCTTTATAAAATGTTCTGGAGGGTTATGGATATTTTATGAATTGTCTTTAATCCAAAAAGGCAAAAGCTAAACACATCCTCAGAAGCCTATTAACTGATATCTGGGTTGATCATAATGCCCATATAAGTAGGTGGTGTTCATATTTTTCTGCAATCCAAAAACTATTTTCTGAAACTATTCTTGATTGCGACAATGTTAACAGTTAATACTGTGGTCTATGACCAGCCAGCCAATCTGTAATTCCCTAGCTAGAGAGTCCTTGGTTGGGTTTGAGCATATCCCTACGCAGCCCATAATGGATATATACCATTGGTATAATAATAGAATAATCACCATGAGTTCATTAGTTTGAGAATGCCTTCCAGTCCATGTACCTTCCCAACTGGTTTCTTTCCGGGATGAGATCAAACTTGAATTAATTATAAACATGCATTGCAATAAAAATTACGAAAAAACTATGTTTGGTTTTAGTCACATCACGAATCAAATTTTTTTTGGAGAATGACTGTTCAGCCCATCTCAGAATTCTTAGTTCCACCGTACAGGTTGGATGAATTGATGCCAAATCCACGGGCATGATGCAGTTTATAGAGAGGGGAAGGGCTACTAGTAGACTATGAGGGCTGTAATTCAGAATTATGCAGTGGGCTGTAGTTTACTTCACCGAGTTTTTTTTTTTCTTTCTGCAACTCCATTTTATCCCATCAATCATTCTATGTCATATCCACACAATTCCATGGATGAATGCGATATCTCATTGAACTGTAGATTTTTTTTTTCTAGATCTAAGTGTTTTAAGAGATTTTCACTTGGTGAGATCATGAAACTATGCAAACAGATTACGCGTAAATGTTTTAGAGTTGGCAGCCACTTGGAAAATAAATTTCAACCTTACTTTGGGATGGCGCATAACAACCACTTGTGTGGACGATGTGTCATCAAGCAGATGGGAATGCATTACTGAAATTCTAAAAAGATGAATTCTTGTTCTGATCCCCTGGACATTTTGCCATATCAATTAATTTGTCTGTGAATTTGAAAGCAACCCCATCTCTTTAGGCTTTGTTTGAAGAAAAAAGTAGGGAAGCGAAGGGAAATGTAAGAAAACCTTTACAAAATTTATATAGATTTTTCTACCTTTTCCTACCTTTTTCTTCGAACCAAACATAACCTAATGGTTAGAAATAAGGATGACGAAATGGTGGTGGTGCGTCACGTTCAACGTACCCAACAAGTTGGCTATAATTTCAGGCTGGAGGGACAAATCTCTGTAAAGGCATATATTCCTTTGGGACCATCTTGGGTCCAACGATAGATGATCCAGAGATCTAGGCCAAGTGAAACTTGCCACGTGTCGCATATTCAGAGAATCTGTTTAGTTATTAACGCACTTTACCCAACAGTTCCAAAGAAAAAAAAATGCTTCCACATGCAATCGGGCTGCTATTTGCTTAGATTACTTGATTACGTTTGGAGAATAGCTGAGATTGTTAGGCATTCAAGTTGAAAAACATGAGGGTTTTGCGCTCTCTCTCTCCCTCCTATCACATGATTGAAGCCAGTGTGGAAGAAGATGGAGGAGGGATCGTCTTGAAGTGTAAACCACTGCGGTTCTTTGAACCCTAGAGAGGAGTGATTGAACTGGGAAAGCATGGAAATTATTAGGTCTCGGGGCCACTTGGGTCAGCTTGCAACAAGCTCTCTGTATGAGAGCAGATTGAGCCAGCTGATGGCTAGGACGGCCCGTTTGGGTTAGAGATTATTTAGTGCTTATTCAAATAAGCATTTATTTTGGGTCAGGCCATATATAAGTACTTATTTAAAAATCTCAAATTTTGAACTTATTTTTAAGTGCTTATTTCTTTGCTGGCATATCCTGGCCCACCATGCCATTTTAAAATTGCCTATACTATCCCTATTTAAAATAAATGATTTTTTTACCAAATACTCACAAGTGCTTATTAGAAGAAGCATTTATTTTTCAAATAAGCACTATGATCTAAGCCCACTTATGGTGACTGAGGTCGTCATGATGGCCACTTGGGTCATCATGCATGATGCATCTCAAAGGAAATACAGATTCATTGAAGAGGGTTTTGAACAAGAGACGGGATCTGCTCCTCACACAGGGGCGC